TATTAGTCTCAGCGCGATCTTAGTGCGTAACATGAGTGCGGAATGGCCTACCATATAGGTATCCTAGAAGTAAGGCTCACAAGCCTCATCGCACCCTCGTTATTAGTCTCAGCGCGATCTTAGTGCGTAACATGAGTGCGGAATGGCCTACCATATAGGTATCCTAGAAGTAAGGCTCACAAGCCTCATCGCACCCTCGTGCGGACGGACTGCTAGATAAACCATCCAAATCTAACTCAATGGCCTGTACAAGTGGAATATCGATGCACTATCCCTGTAGTACTGAACTGAGCTCATCAACGATATCCAGAAGGTGTGTGTGTATAATATGTACTAAACTCTTTCTCAAAGTAATCGGGTCAAAACACATCATAATTCCTTTCAGCATACCCATGTGTGTACTACTATACTATTCGTGAATTTACATATAAAGAAGTGTGGCTCAAAACCCGCAAACATATCTCAAACAGATACAAAACAAAAATTCAGGCAACAGCCTTAGTAGTCGACTACTAGGCTTAGTAGTCGACTACACTGAGTCCATCCAGACTCTGTAATAACATATATCAGTATCAGTAGTCAACTATTAAGAACATTAGTCGACTACTCTGCAAACACATAGTTTCTGTTATACTCAACTGGGCACGAGTAGCCGACTACTAAGATTAGTAATCGACTACTCTGTCAAGACACACATTCTTTCGTGCACAAATAATGCTTATGTCAATTATACATATCATGACGTTAAAACAATATTTTATACTTGGCATATACAACAGGATTATCTGAATCATCAAATTAAATTATTATATCTTCCAAACTAGGGTTTAACATCCTAATCAAACAATTTCTTTAATTATCTTATTTGTAAACAAAGTGATTATCAACATATGATAAAACTACTCATGAACAGAGGTAAAATCCATTTAAACATGTTTATCTTACTTAGATATCACAAACCTAGGGTTTAAGCATGATTAATTAACATAAAAACTCAAAGAAACCTTCACGTAATATATCAATTATTTCAAATCAGCATATTTGCAGTTTTTTACAGAACATATTATTAGTTAATTGAGAATATATTTCTCTAGACAAACTCTATTTAAGAATAGTTTTTTGTTTTGGAAACTATATCCACATAGCTATTATTTGGCACTAGTTTGGTTTAGTTTGAAGTTTATATGATATCTCAAATTTCCAGTTAAAGGTTACACATGTGCATTAGTTTTCTGCAGAATATATTATTAGTAAATTGAGTATATCTTTCTCTATAAAAAATATTTCTTAGAATGGTTTTCTATTTTGGAAAATTGGTTCACATAGATTTCATTTGATACTAGTTTTGTTCAGTTTGGAGTTTATATAAAATCTTAAATTTTCAATTAAAGGTTACACATGTGCAGCAGTTTTCTGTAATCTATGATGAAAACAAAAACTAAACCTCTTTATAATTTAATTAGACAACAAATTAGGGTTAACACACAAGTTAAACATAATTATCAGGTTAAAAAATAAAAATTTAATCATCCCTAATGATCATGATCACGTTACTATCATAAACAATTAAGAAAAGC